TGTGCATCGACTTACGACTATTACACGTCTAGTTTCATGAAAATAGGCAGTATGTGCACATGTTTTGTGGGATACATGATCATATCGCGTTGTGTGAAATGGAAAATTATTATGTAAGTATCTAACTGTTTTATGGCTTGCAATTGTTTTGTTTTTTCAAATGTAAATCTTGTCTAAATCTTAAAAACTATTATTTTGTAGGTCCTATTAGAAATCGCTGATGTTATATTTTACATAAGATGGAGGAACAGAAGGTTGACGGTGACAAAGAAGAGCATGGGTATAAAGTCAATCAACCAGAGAAAATAAAATTAGATGGAAAGAAGCTCAACCTTTCAGGGGATGCTTCATTCTTAAGGTGGAAGAGTTATAGTGCAAATTTTCATGTAATACAAGAAAATACGGGTGCATCGTTGCTAAGAACATAAACAGTTTTGGGAGCAATTTGTCATCATTTTTAATGCTTAAAAGTATGTTTTATGTATGTATACATTATAACCTTAGCTTGTAATTACAGTTATCCAATAAAATTTCTGAAAACTTAATGTCATATATTTCTAACTCATACAGAGTATACAACAGTTTAATAAATGTATTATTATAAAACTTATAACCAGTACTAGATGTTCTAATAACGATATGGAACACTTTAATAACAGTTATTGCTATTATTTCGTAAAAGGTATAAAAAACGTTGTATACTAGTTATACAATAATTTAATAAAGAATAAGGTTTATAGTCACTATACAACTGTGCTAGCAATACGCGTTTTATATCCAATATTCACCTGTTTAACTGTCACATATAGTATACAATGGTTTTATAATAGCATATAGAATTCCAATAAATAATAAAACGCATTTCTTTCAGTGTACACTTGTAACTAAATCGGAGTAAATGTCTTCATTATTGAGTGACCCCCACCTCATTCTATGGTTGTCGTGCGTTGTCTTTGTCTATTCCCATCGTCCCCATTAGGGGGCGTGGTGAACGGCGTGTAGTGCTGAACAAGTATCCATTTATCCAGTTATTTTGGTAATTGTGTTTAAATGCAGTGGTTTGATTACAATAATAATTAAAAGCAATAATATATTAAGTCTCAATTAATATTGGGTGAAACAAACGGATAGTTAGATTGTTACCTATACTTACTTAGGTATGTGTCTGTAACGTAAGTACAATATAGGTTATGGCAATCTATTCGTCCGATCAGTTAACCAATTCTTTTAATCGAGACCTAAAATATTATCTCTAAAACAGATCTGTGTAGAAGTATAAACCACTGCGGTAGCTTAGAAGTTTGTGACTTTAATACAATGATATTTAAATTAAAATTTAAAAAGAATATAAACCAAGCCTGAGTAAAAAATTACTCAATAATAAATAAATTTAGAGAAAAAGTCAACTCTTAATTGGTTTTACATACTCGGAATAGAGTCAAAAGTCACTCACTAGTTAGCAGAAACTCGAATTTCAGTAAAATTCACTCACTTCTGTTGCAATAGTTTCACTCTTAAAATTTTAGTTGTACTCGTACTAATTGAGTGCACTTAATCGGGTGTGGAGAAAAATTAATACATTATTGACTAAAATTGAGTGAATTTTTTTTACAGTATACAGTTACATAGTGATTATGTTAAATGTTAAACAATATTTCAACGATTGTAACTCTTTATAGGTACTAAAATATTATACTGATGAGAATTAAACAATTTTGTCTTCGAATATTTCTCGCCAGAAAAGATGTCAGTTCACTATACAAGGTGATTTTTCACAATAAATGGCGTAAATTTTATGGGCATTTGCATAAAGTATATAAATAGCATTTTTAATTGTTTTTAAATCCGTAAAATATGGAATATAAATATTTTCGAATAAAATTTATTGGATGCTGCGACTTTTTCTGGAATTGTATTTCAAAAACTTTCCTTAGTTATCAAAAACGAAAATAAAATTTGTATTATCGTTAAAGAAATTGGGGAAATAAAATCGTGATATCAATACCACTTTTTAACTAAATGTAAATTATGTTTCATTAAGATTGTGTTATTTGTTAATATTCTGCGAAAGAGAAAATAAAAAAAATAGCCAATAAAACGCCCTGTGAAAGGGGAAACACTTCACGGGGCCTGATGGGTGAGTCACCGGTCCACCACGAGGCAGCGGGGGGCTCTCTACTGCAGGCTAGTGACAGTTGTGTCTCGAGGGCCCCGATCCCCAGCCTAACGAATGCCTAATTCAATCAGAGATCTAACCAAGTCGGTCTCTGCGCCCGCCCGCTCTTCTCTACTTTCGGTTCCTTGCACGGTCCTCTGCAAGAAAACCCCTATCGCAAACCTATTTCGGATAAATTAATGGCGTAGCCTTAGAGCGATGTGGAAATATGTACAGAGCGAAAATTAAAGATGCGACCGTAACCTTCTTGTCTTTGAAGTTATCCGAAGAGCAAAAATCTCCTATTTACTGATTTTTTTTTATCGAACATGACATAACGAACGGTACTGTCGAGAATAATTTGTGTATTAGTGGTATACTTAGTTATGTTTCCGGAATAAAACAATCACTTATTTTTTTGGTGATGTAAACAAATTAATGTCGAATTTAACTTTTTCGCATTATCGCATTATAGTTACACGATGTGCAAAAATTCTTAGCTAGGAAAAGCAATTTCCTAACTCCTATTTTTTTAACAATGTCAGTGTTAAAACAAATGTCTTCTGTTTTCCTTGACGTATTGTGGGTGAGAATAATCTTCAATTTCTTCAATGAATATTGAATAATCATTGTCATGTTAGTTTTGTTTTGTGGCTTAAAAATGTAGATCAATATCGATCATTTCCATTTTTCTGAAATCTTTGAACTAGTTCTATATAATCGTATCTACCTACCTCCATACAAGCCGGTAGGTCAACTGTTACCAATTTAGCTATCTTTGCCGAATATATCATCCATATTTTATACAGGGTGACTTAGAAAAAAGTACATTGCATAGTGTCATACAATAGAGGACACTAAAACAAGAAAACAAGTTCCTATGAACATGGGTCCGCAAGGCCTTCGGTTAAAGGATACGGGGTGTTGAATTTTATTTTTTTTTTATTTGCAAAAACAATGATAAATACTTCAACAATTAAATTTTAATGGTATGATGAAAAATATGATTAATTAAAACAAAACATTAAGTTTTTAGAAGATGTTCAAATTGTTGCCCTTGTACTTCAATACATTTTTCCATTCTTCTTCTTAATGATTGACGGCATCTTTGAAATATTCCTAGGTTATTATGAAATCTATCTGCCGATTCCATAATTCTTATCCATAATTGTTCTTCATTATGTATTTCTACAGCATAAACTTCATTTTTCAAAAATCCTCAAAATGAAAAATCGAGGGGATTAAGGTCGGGACTACGATCTGGCCAGGGTACGGGCCCCCTTCGACCAATCCACCTATTTCCAAATCTCCTGTCCAAATATTCCCTTGCCACTCGAGAAAAGTGAGCTGGCGCCCCATCATGCATGTAATACATTCTTCCAATAATGGCCAATGGGACATCCTCTAATAATGTGTTTAAATCATTCACCAAGAAATTTCGATACAGTGCACCTGTCAATCGATTGGTCAATCGAAATGGGCCAATTAAGTAATTGTCGATGCCCACACATTAATAGAAAACCCAATTGGTGATTCCGAATTATAGTTTGATGATGATTTTCATCATTCCAATGGTACATGTTATGTAGGTTCAGAATACCATCACGACTAAAACTAGCTTCGTCAGTAAACAAAATTGATGAAATAATGTTTTCTCTTTGGTTTTGAAACCATTCGCAAAATTGTACACGAGGAACAAAGTCATGTTCCAATAGTGAATGAATTTTTTGGAAATGATATGGGCGAAGAAGTTGTTCTTTGAAAATTTGTCTAACTGATTCACGGTTAAGGTTTCGCACCGCTGAACTTGTTTTCCTGGTGCTTGTTCTCGGATTATTTTCTACCATTCGTAAAACAGTTTCTTCGTTTCGCACAGTGCGACGAGTTCTGGAAACCCCACTATTCAATTTTGGTTTTCTAAAACAGCCATCTTCTCCCAAACGCCTATGCACATCAATAAATGTTCGAACATTAGGAACTTGTCTTAAAGGATATCTTTCTCGATAGATACGTTGAGCTTCGTAAGAATTTGATCTAGCTTCGCCGTAACACATAATCATGTCCCTGTATTCTTCAAAAGTGTAGCGAACCATTTTTGAAAGCAATTTTGAATAATCAGTGAGAAAACCAATGAAAAACTTAATCAAGAACACAAAATACCTCTAACAATTATTATATTAGTTTGACAAGTGTCATTATGACACATTATTTAATTGTTATTTATCATTGTTTTTGCAAATGTTACTTTGGCGCTTTTTGAATAATTTGCGTGCATTGTCGGCTTTGTACTGGAACCATTGCTTCTAGCGACTTGGACAAGGTGTACCTTTCTTACGTATAAAGAAGGGATAACAAATTTTTTTCAGTCGAAAATGGCATACAGTGTATAGCAAAAAAGTTAGGACCGATTCAATAGATATGGAACCCTGTATGTAGCGCCCTCTATCAGTAATCACAAAACTAAGATCATATTTGAATTTAGCATGATAAAAATACCCCTGTATACCACATTTTATCCATTCCTTGCGTCTCTGGCTAAAGATATTAAAAAAAAAACCCAAACAAAAATAAAATTCAACACCCCGTATCTTTTAACCGAAGGCCTTGCAGACCCATGTTCATAGGAACTTTTTTCTTATTTTAGTGTCCTCTATTGTGTGGCACTATGCAATGTACTTTTTTCTATGTCACCCCGTATAATAAAGAATTAGTAGATGATGATACATTTCGTTTTTCGATAGAATTGACCACAAGGTTTTACCTTGTAAACTTTTAGTAAGATTTATACAAACGGAATATTTCATAAATTACTTAAAAATACTTGTTATTCGTACATTCAACATACCTGTATCCTAGCTTCATTCAACTTCGTACTCCTAGCTAACTCCTCCCTGCAGTATATGTCTGGGTAGTGACTCTTAGCGAAGGCAGCTTCCAATTCCGCCAGCTGCTCCTGCGTGAAGGTCGTACGGTGTCTTCTTCTCGCCGGCGTCGGACACGAGGCCGTGGTCGGAGTGTGGCCGGCGTGCTGAGGTCCCCCAGGTGACACGGTGCCTATTGAACTGCTCCCTGTAGTTTGTGGCTCGGGTTTGAGTTTTTTGAAAGCTCCATCTGGAAAGAGAAAATACCTTTTCAGCAAAAACTTTAACTTTAAAAGCTATCGGTCAAAATGCACAAAACAGTTATGATCCTCTTCGTCAACAGAAAAAACCTAGATTGCACAGGAAACCCGTTGAGCTCTCCAGGAAAGTAGTCTATAGGGCTGACAGTAGTTGAAACTAAACTTGTGACAATAGAGTCCTGTAACGGCTTCTCCAGGACCACAGCCGCCTTGTAGTGTTGTTAAGTGTGCTTTAGGGAAATGAGCGGAAGGAAAATATTGTAAATGCTGTGACATATTACCAGGACACGCGTATCCTAAGAAAATATTGACTGTTTCCTTGGACAAGAGGAGTAACGGAATGTCGATTCAGTTCAAAATAAAAAAGTATCATACAAACTTACAATTATTAGAGAATGCGATTTGATGGGGTTGAAACTGAGAAGAAAAATCAGTGTTGAACATCATAAGCAAAGGGTCTTGTACTTCTAAGACTGAAGCTGCTAGGCAGAGGAATATGAGCAAATTGAGCATATTAAGAAGAACATCAGTTATCACTTATCGATCGTCGTACAAAGAAGAACCGACTTTTTCTGACAGTTTTTGATAGCAAAAACTTCAAAATTCCTATTTATGCTTTGTCGAGGTGTAAGGGTATTTATACACATATTGCAAGATACTAGATGATTGAATATGTCAAACAGGAGAAAAAAATACAATTGGTAGGTACCTTAAATCAATAAACACAGTTATTTTTTCTCTGTTTATCTACTTTTATTTAAGAATAAATTACAATTACTTTTAATGAGCAATGCACAAAGTTAAATGCATACTCCAAAATAAAAAATTTAACTTTGAATTTATTGACAAACAGGCGTAATTTTCTTGGACTAACTGCATTAAATAAAACATGATTTAGTACAGTTTCACCGAATTCTTTCAAATACATTTTCTGTCTCTTTAGTTTCTAGAATATTTTAGAAAAACACAGTTTCCGCTCCATCGATAAATGCCTTCAAGGACATCTTCCTTCAGTTAGACATAGTTGTACCTAAAGGCAGTGCGAATTTTTACAGACTTGCATTTTTCTTTATATTTATTGTATTTTTATGTATTTTAATATCTTATAAATATTTCAGTTCAATTATTAAAAAATGTGTTTGTTTTAATATAATATAATTTTCACTAAAGTTTTGTTTTCTTATGGCTTTTGGGTCCAGGATGATCCAAGAAGCAGTTTTTCCAAATTATGGAATAGACTCTTTTAGTGTGACGTCACATATTTAGGCAACCCGTAACAAATTGTCATAGTTGAAATTGTACGGTCCCTTGTGTACTATTTACATAGATACTATAGAAATTAACAACTTCAAATTAATTTATTATTACAAGGATTTGGAAGTATTTAAGAACAACCAACACGTGTTTCATAAAATAGATACACTAATGTTCTTAAAACTTACATACACTGTATAAAACAATATTCCTAAATTTAAATAAAGTAAAAATTTAATATTAGCCTTGTTATTCCTAACGCTCAAGCTCGGATAGAATAGCCTCATACGCAGGTGATATATTGTTGATATGCTATAACTGTCATCATTAGTATTTTTAGAGTATTTTCTCTTGTTTTGTTTAATCTTGGCATATGGTTGTACTGTAGTCCAGGCGGTACTTATTTCGGGTTGGGTAAAGCGCATATGATCGGAGATTTTTGGTTTAAAGGCTTCTAAATAACATCAGAAATGATAATATTTCTATGCAAATAAAAAAAACGTGGGCTTAATTGTTATTGCAAAAAAGTATAAAAAAATAGCAAAAAAAATCATTTTTTTCTTGGATTTCTCATCGACAACTTAGCAACTATTCGTTTTAGACAAAAATGGAAGAGGAAAAAAAGTTTTGTAATTAAATTTTGATCAAGATAGAGTTAGTTGCAATTCGAAAAAATAATTATTGTTGTTGGAAAAATCGGAAAAATCATTTAAAAAATTGCAAAAAATGCTAGTTTATTTGTAAATTTTTTTCAGACACTTGAATAATACCTAGGATCTTCATACTTTTCCCAATTAAACTTCTTAGTGCATAGAATCATCACACCAAATTTCATCCAATTCGGTTAGATAATTTTTACATAATAATTGTTTAAATTTTTTATTTTTTTTAAATTAAAAAATTTTCAAAATCAAATTTCTAAAAATCTAAAGCCTTTGAATACTTGAAAATTTCACCACAAAAAGAAGAGCTCTCAAGCTTTAAAATGCTTTTTGAAAAATTCAAATCGGACGATTAGGTGAGCCGTGGTGATTGTTTAAACATTTTCGCAATTTTCACGCTTATAAACAATTGCAATAATTTAATGTTTTTTCAAATTTTTTTTTATTTTAAAATATGGTTTGAAAGTACTCGGAAAGGCGAGTATTTAAAAAAAAACCTGATGATCCGCCCATTATTTTCGGAGTTATAGCCCGTTAAAGTTAACCCTTATTTACAGCAAAACTATAAGGGCTGTTTTTTGAACCAATAGGTTTGTTATTCCGAGTACTTTCCAGATATAAATTTTCAAAATTTGCAATCACGGGCGTCCCATTTAAAATGTCACTCAAAGATATTCAAGACCGCGTGAAATCAATGAGGTATCAGTGGTGGGGGGAGCAAACACACAGCTACTCCGATCTGAATTCTCGAGTTCAAAATTGCGACACTCGGAAAAATTTCACTTATCTCAGCGTCTAATGGACCAATTTCGATGATTTTTTTTTAAATCGATGTCTCGCAACTAAAAAATTCAATTATCATATTTTCAACTACATTTTATTATTAATTATTGGACTTTTGACATGCCGATAAACAGTTACTTTAAAAAATGATTAATTTATTATGTTTATTTATTTACTATGTTAATTTTCACGACCAAAATTTTTGCATGTTGCACCATGTTGTTGGTATTAATTAAGTATCCAAAAGATTCTTATACTTTTTTTATAAATAAAAAATAAATTTTAGATAAATATTTTAAAAGTAAACGAAAAAATTAAAATTATAATTATTCACAATTTATGTGAGTAATAATTTTTGAAAGACTTTTAGAAATTTATCGTACAACTAAAAATTAATACCAATTTTCAGTTGTTTATTTAAATAATTATTGTTTAAACAATTTTATAATATTTAAACAAACTTACTAGTATTACCAAAAATTTGAAAAAAACATTAAATTATTGCAATTGTTTATAAGCGTGAAAATTGCGAAAATGTTTAAACAATCACCACGGCTCACCTAATCGTCCGATTTGAATTTTTCAAAAAGCATTTTAAAGCTTGAGAGCTCTTCTTTTTGTGGTGAAATTTTCAAGTATTCAAAGGCTTTAGATTTTTAGAAATTTGATTTTGAAAATTTTTTAATTTAAAAAAAATAAAAAAATTAAACAATTATTATGTAAAAAATATCGAACCGAATTGGATGAAATTTGGTGTGATGATTCTATGCACTAAGAAGTTTAATTGGGAAAAGTATGAAGATCCTAGGTATTATTCAAGTGTCTGAAAAAAATTTACAAATGAACTAGCAATTTTTGCAATTTTTTAAATGATTTTTCCGATTTTTGCAACAACAATAATTATTTTTACGAATTGCAACTAACTCTATCTTGATCAAAATTTAATTACAAAACATTTTTTCCTCTTCCATTTTGGTCTAAAATGAATAGTTGCTAAGTTGTCGACAAGAAATCCAAGAAAAAAATGTTTTTTTTTTGTTATTTTTTTATACTTTTTTGTAATAACAAATAAGCCCACGTTTTTTTTATTTGCATAGAAAAATTACCATATCTGATGTTATTTAGAAGCCGTTAAAGCAAAAATCTCCGATCATAAGCGTTTTACCCAAGTACACCCTTTGTAAGACAGATACCGCCTGGACTACTGTGTCAGTGTGTTTATCGAGTGTTTTTTTCCTCAACTTTCCTTGAATGATATCCTGTTGCGAGGCTACTCCGCTTACATGAAATTATTTTTAATTCGCATGTAACATGATATAATTTTAGTTTATTAATTACTATAAGTCAGTATTCTATAAATTTAAATATATAAATTTTATAATTCTAATAGTTTGTCACTTGTGGTTTCTTAAATATTTCTAATATTGCCAGAATATCGCAATATTTAAGGGTATGACAAAGAAAACATTTTTTTGGCACATATGTCCAAAGTGCAATCGATCTAGTAAAAATACCGAGAAATTCTTCATGACAACGTGTACTATGGGGTTGCCTATTATGGCGTATGTGACGTCACTACTAAAAAGGTCTATTATGAAACACATTGTACGATGCTGGAACCAAAAAGAATAAAATCGTAGATAAAGTAGGTACCATTACCACAAAATTTAAGTTGATATAGTATGTACTGGGTTAAATAAGAGAAAAGTCTGAGGGCGAGTGGAGGTGCCGAAATACACCAGAAAATCCGCGCTGTCACTTCAATTAGGCATCCAGTCAGAAACGTGATCGACTCAATATTAATATTGTTACGTTTATCGGTCACATTAGACGGAATAATTGGCGGCGATGCACAGGTGTCTGCGGCGGCAAACGGCGTAGTCTTCGGCGTCGGGCGGCAAGCAAACCTTATTGAATTCATTACTGTTTATTAATGCAGTTAGCAGAAACCTAATTACAATTACTGACACCGGCGCACGCCACAAAGAATCTCACACAATCTTATTACTCCCGACTGAATGTAGTTACTGCGACGGCAATGCCTGCTGCTGTCGCTCTTGGACCGACGCCTTCGTGGCTTCCAAATATTTACATAATTCAACGGTCACTTTACCGCCCCGCCTCGCAGTGCCGCAAAATCCTAAATGTGGATCAAGACACCGTATTTTATTTCGGTGTATTTTACCATGCTCGAAATTAATAAGCATTCTAGTTGAAATAATTTAATGTAAAACTAGTAGATTCTAAGATGCTCCCACTGTTTTTTTTAATCTAATGTTATCTCTGAATTC